AGAGCAGATTCAATTGCATATCGAAATGCGATTTTGCCAGTATTCATTGAATTTACGCGAAGAAAAAATGAAAGCTAATTCTGCAAAAAATTCTGGCAATGAATTAGGTTATCTCTGAATGTAATAATAGGCATGTGAATAGTTTACATCGTTATTGTTCTTGTAAATAGGTTTTGTTAAGGCGGTTAAGAAGAAGGATAGAAATTCTAAATGTATATTTATTCTGTCTGGATTACTTCATATTCAGAAGTATAAATTATGCCGATTATTATAAATTTTCAGTGATATTAGTAGGAGTCAGTACATGCAATTAAGTACAATTAGTAAATGAATGGAAGAATATAATTTAGTAAATTACAGTTTAGAAGTTTGTTTCTCTTTATCAAAGCAATGAAAATATTGCAAAAATAATACCAACAATTATTTACAGGCTGGACTCCTTTTCTACTTTCGATGTTGTTCTCAACAAAGTAGCGTTATTTATTCTCTTATCGATATAGTAACTCTTCTAGCAGTATTATTAATTCTAGCGTATAAGCTCACAAATAACATATGAGTATGATTAACTGAAAAAGAAGTGTATAAGTTGATAGCCACAGTGTAATGAAGTTATTGGCATTAATAGTAAAATTGTTTTGTGAATTCAAACTACAAGTAGTGATGTAGCTTACTGTTTCGTATATGATGATTAATTTCTAAAATTATTTTAGGGCATTTTTTATAAGGCAGAACTTTCTGCTTCAATATTACATATCAATATTTCTTAGCTAAATGATTTCTTAATTTGCTGGAAGAATTTACAACACGGTTACAGAAGTAATTATCACGTCTGTTTTGATGTAAATAAACAGATAAAAATGAGTGACTGATTATGATTGTACGAGGTGAACCTTCATCACCCCTTCTTAGTTCTTCATTAAGTGACCACTTTTATGAAAAACAGTTGGAAGGATTTGTAAACGATATTCTGAGTTCTGATAATGGTGATGAAGGAAAGGATAATTGCACCGCAGAAATTGTCTCTGAAGAAAGTGGAAAAAGACAAGAAGGAGAAGAAAAATCTTGCGGTGTTGAAGGGAATTTCCATGGTAACGAGCATTTCCCTGTCAACAAAACCTCAGTTTCAAATTGTGCTAGCTTTTCTAGCAAAAGTAGTACCAAATCCTGTGGTAAAAATATTTCTGCTACACAGCCAGTCAATTTCAAAAATAATGCTTGCAGTAAATCTGTTTCTACATCAATATTTTCATCAGTAATCACTTGTTCTGATCATTCTTCAAACTTCAAATCGCTTCTTACAGCACCAAATATTTCTTCGCACAACAATCTAAACCTTTTAACAGATTTGTCCAATCCAAGTACTGTAGTTAGAAGTAATTTTTCTAATCTTATTTCACGCTTTGCAACGCTTTACACTTCATCCAGAAATTCCATCAGTTCTCATCGTCTTGAAAATGACTCTGAATTGATCGTTGAAAACTCGTCTTCCTGCTCATGCTTAGCTCACCAGCTACGTAATTTCCATCAGCAAATCGCTTCAGATATCTTTGATTCGCCAAGTGCATCTATACAGTCAAAGTTACCTCCCTGTGCACATTCAACACCTATAACAACTAAATTTATCTCACTTATCACTGATATGGATCAAGATTGGAATCAGTATTGTGGGTGTGCAATGGTTAGTTATTTCGTTTTCTTCAACTCTTCCAAGACAATTTCTGTACTAATTAGTGTTATGTGAAGAAGATCTGGTATCAAAATTAAGGTATATTTTGTTTATAACGATAAAATGCCAGCGATTAACGTAAAAGCGTGCCTGAAAACATCACAGAATCTGAAGCTTGCATCTAAATTTTTTGTGTAATATTAATCAGTTTGCTGTGTGTTTTGGTGCGGTGAAATTTTTAAAGTCATTGAACTATCTGTTCATATACCATACCTTGCAGATGCGAAATGAATAATATTAAAATGAAAGCTTTTTTTGATCTCTGTTATGACTTTTGTCAAGGTCTTTGGCTGTACTCGTGAAGTGTTTATATTACTGTGAAAAAAAACGTGAAGAAAAACAGCAATGTATTTGAGAAATTACGCATGTGAGGTTAATTTCTCATTTATTTAAGTCTTGAAGCAGTTTTTTCGCAAATCACCCTGCAAAGTATAATGGCGGTGTGTGCGTGAAAAATTAATTTCCAATAAAGTTCTCAGTAATTTTATTTCTTTTAATTTCAGTGCTTAACTTATTTTCCATTCTTTCATACGTGTATAATAATTATTCTGCATAACTTTCATGCTGTATAATATGCTTTACAGCAGAAACTAAAGAATTTAGTGTTTGGAAATCTCTTGTTGAAAAAGTGAAAAAATAAATGAATAAGGTTTTGCTTGTCATATGTTTTCGGGTATATTAATTACTGAATATACAAAGTACCATAGCAAGATGACCTAAAAATAATTTTTTCGCACTTTCCTAGCCATCAGTTTTTCTAATCTTTTATTCCTTTAACTAAATTATTTTTTTGTGGATTGATATTTCAGAGGTTTTAACACTTGGCTTCACTCAAAATATATCAAGAAAAATTTTACATATAAAAACACGACGGAAGTAATAAATTTCTAGTGCATTATCAAGTCTTTAATGCGCTCGTCTTCATTTGAATGAATAACAATAATAAGTCAGCAAGAAGTGAAAGAATTTACGTGTTTGTCGCACGAGAGGAATGGTCTGAAAAAATATTTGAAGGATGCTTTATTTTGAATGCTTTACTTTAGAGCTTATTCAAATTTAAGCATATTTGAAATGAATTCTAACGCTTTCATTAATAATTAGTCACAATAATTTTTGCAAGATTTCAAATACGAGAAAACTAAATGGTATGCATGTGAGTGCTACCAATTGCTAACATGTAGAGGTTATTATATTTAATGTCAAATTTTGGAATTAATGCATGATGGAAGTATTATTAGCATGTATATATATAGCAGTCACAGCTTTATATCTAACTTAGTAATAATTCTTCTAAAATTCATTTTGGAGGTTTTTTCAAGTATTTTTTTTTCATACTTTGCACACTTTTTCCCCTTTCCTCAATATTTTCAATGATTTTAGTATCAAATTTCAGTGAGAAATAACTTGAAGTAGATCAATTTTGATGGCAAAATTAAAGCTCCGAGCATGGAGGCAAATGTTTTCAGACATTATATAGCGAGAAAGTCTATTTTCTTATAGTAAAATTGTTTTTTGAAGTAGAAAAATGAACTTAAAAAGGAGTATATTTGCTGTATCGATGCACCTCCACGGAAAAGAAAGTAAGGCCTTGCTTCTATTGAAAGGCATTTACTGGCAGTTCTTCATTTCATTTCGCTATTTAGAGCTAGGCTGGGAGAGATATTGTCTAGTCTTACATGTATATGTCTATTTTATGAGCTCTTTGAATACTTACTTGTTTATTGTGATTTATGTTTTTGCTTCAGTCTTATAATGCCCAGAAATGTTGGCATTTGTCAGTGAATATCGTCAAGAGTTAATCTAAATGGTGTAGAAAAGTTTTCCGGATTACCTTTGATTACTTTCTACTTGTTTCATCATCGGCCTTTCATCTCAGTATCAAAGATGGATCCCAGAAAATCTGATCAAGACCTACTAGGATTACATGCTGAAGATCGTTTACAGGATGAGGAGACAGCATTGCATTGCGCAGTGGCTCGAGGTCACGTTGAATGTGTTCAGTCATTATTAGATGCTGGAGTACTTATCGATGCTTTTGATCAGGTTAATACTATCCATATTTTCTTACTTAAAACAGAAATAAGCATAAATTATTTTTTATCCAGTCTCTGGTTATAATTACTCATAATCTATGATTGAGATCAAGTGCAATATTTTTTACGCATTGAAGATACTGACTTACCTTTTAAAAGAATTGTTCACTTTATAAAATGAATATGTCTTTGTTCACAGTTTATTTGTTATTGAGAATAAGCGTCATAGCAGTGAGTGCGTAATGTTGACTCTTTTCCATCCAGTGACTTTAATTATATACTATTTAAAATGTACAAATGAAAATTTGTACTTGTACATACTTTCATTTTGAGTACTTGGTTACAAGTTAAAAAAATATTCAGGTGAAAATAACTAGTTAAGTGTAAATTAATTGCTAGGTATAAAATAAATGACTGTAGTGTTACGATAATTGAGGCCTTAATTTAATAAAAGTAATTTTCCTATTTTATATAGTGCTCGTGCAGTGCAAGTTTAGTTTAGTATTCTGGAAATAATATTGTATTGTTGGGAATTAAATTTTTAATTGAGTAAAATATTAGTCATTCATAAAAGTTTACGTGAAGCAGTTGCAACATAAGTGAAGTTATTCATACATAATATTTCTCTTTTCGGTCGTGGCATTCAACAGCTTTTATTCTCATTAATCAAATATTCTAGAAAGCTAATTTCAATTCTAATGAACTAAATTTTGCAGTTGCATGGAAATTTATATTCCGTCGCTCATTTTCGACACTGTATATCACTTCACTTTTACTAATTATCCTCTAAAAAACTATCTTTGGATCATTTTTCAATCTCCGATTTTAATAATTTCAGCATGGACAAACAGCGCTACATCTTGCTCTTAGATGTTCGCATATTGATATTGCTTTACTTTTGATTACCAAAGGATGTAAATTGGATATCAAAGATGAAGTATGTTTCTAAATAATGTTTGCATACATTAAAAAATTATTGAATAAAAAATGGTATGAACAAATATTAGAATATTAATAATAATAATAATAAGAATGACTAAGGCGTATTATTGTGTCACTTCATACAGTTATTTAGTACTATTTAAATTCACTGCTAAAATTTGCCTAAAAAATTTTGTCTTTCAAAAGTTATGTTTAAGTTTAACTACTCAGTGTTGTTTTTGGTTGACAAAATTTGTTTCATTAATCCGTTTTTTCCCTAATCTCATTTCTTTAGTGTTATCCCATAAAGCTGTTAAGAAATCCTGAGTTCTATAAGCGATAGCACGCTGATTAAGACCGATTCAAGGAAGTAAAGTTTTATTAAGTTATGGTATCCCTAGAAAAAACATTCTCGATGATAATTACTATTTCTGTTACTTCTTTCCTGGGACACCATTAGTTGTACCGTGAATAATGCAATAATTAATCTGTTATTATTACCTAGCTTAATTTCCTTTTTCCTTCAGTATTATTGCCAGTTTTTGTATTTTTGAATTATAATATAAAATATAAAATAATGTTTGCTATTTAGAACGGTGATACAGCACTACACATTGCATCTCGAATTGGACTAGTGTCAGCTGTACAAACGCTGTGCCATCTTGGTGCTGCAGTCGATGTCACCAACCAGGTAAACTAACTGACTTTTCATACTTTTGAAAAGCCGTATTAGATTGTTAACATAGAGGAAAAAACAAACGATTTAAAGGGCTTAAGAAATCGTACAAGAAAATGGCATGGTTGATAAGAACTTTACTAACTTGCTTAACAAAGGAATGGATGATTTTAAAATAAAGAAAGTAACAATTTGAGGAGGAGATAATATTCAGTAAGTAGGTGAGTAAGTGCTGTTAAGATCAACTAACTAGCTACTCGTTGATGTATAAGATTGCACTTTTTTAGTTCTATTTTAAGTCGTATGATGGTAAGTTAATGCGATGGATTTTTCTGTATTGTGAGATATCTACATGACTTTCAAGAAAAACTAAAAAGGATTATGGGAAGCTTGTCAAATGTGACTTGACTTTAGTACTTTTCAGTCTAATCTTCATTCCTTCCACTATTCCTTCTACTATTTTCTGTAATAGTAATTGTTAATAATAGTTTATATTATGATAATAATAATAATAATAATAATAATAATAATAATAATAATAATAAATAATGATAATAATGATGATAAATAATAATAATAATAATAATAGTAATAAATGATAATAATAATAATAATAATAGTAAATTTAAATAAAGTAATGCATTTTTTTACGATGTTAAATATGTGAGAGATGTATTTGCACTTATGTCTGCGCACATTTACTGGTGGCACTTAAGTAATCAAGAGTAAAATTCAAGTGATGTGAAAACCCGTATTCAGCATTAACCAAGCAAGAAGGAGGAATTCATGAAAACTTTCAAAAAAAGAACAAACATTACACATGCAGCAACTTTCCATCTATCGATTTCGTTTTTATTTCGGGTGGAGGAAAGTTTTTATTTTTTGGAAAGTGCCTGGAACACATTTCATTAGTGTATTTTTGGCGTACGCTGTGGTGATATTGTCATGACTTATCCTCATTTTATGCTTACTTCCATTGAGAGAAATGCAGTAGTACCAAAAATTGCTAGGATAGAGGCTTGAAAGTTTGCTTTTCGCTTTTCATTTAAGGTTATGTCATTTTGGCAATTTCTCATTTCGTATTTGGGAGTGGTAATTGGAAATCTGTTCAAATTATGCCTGAGGATATTAATTTATGAATTTTTCATGTTGATTCTGAATCAATCTTTCTGAGGAAACTGTGTGTCTTAGTGACTTAATGCTTTCTTCTGATAAATGATGTTTTTGTAGTAAAGTTAGGGCTTTTTGTAGAAAAAATTGATAAGGTAAAATTTAATTCTTATATCTATGTAGTATGAAGTAAACGTGGATGTGAATAACGTCAAGTAACGTAAAAAATGAAGATACTGTAGGTTATCATGATATGAAGATGAGTTTTGTGTTATAGTCACAATTTGTATTAAAAGAAAATGGGTCAACAAATGAGGTGAATTATAATTGCTTGCAACACATTATTGCATTTGTTTACTTCGCTAAAAATCCATGAAGGAATTACAAAGTCATAGTTGATTTTGAAATTATGAATTAACAAGTTAAGAAGTTTTTATTTCACTGACTATGACTAAGCAGGAAAGAATCTTGCTTTTCGTCTTATTGTAATTGATGAATCAAAAGTAATGAATTCTGATAAGTTTGAAATTTGTGTCTGAAAAGACAAATAATCATTTAAAAATTTCTGCTCTTCATCTAAAGTTTGCTTGTTATCTCACAAAATAATAATTACAGCCTTCGGTGCTTTCACGACCACGAATGTGTCTTTTCAAAATTCTATCATTGTTGGTATTATATTGATTACTAGCTTTGAGAGATCGTAAATTAACAAATGCAGAATAATAATCATATTCATTAATCGTGATACTGACGTTATTTTTTGTAAATAATCATAAATGAGCAGTCAGTGATGAACTGAAATAAAACAGCGATAATTATTTATTGCTGTTATGTCCAAGTTTTTTTCAAGTAATCTCTCAGTTTGTGAGATAAATCTGAAAAATTTTAGATCAGTAAGTGATAAATTGAAACATTTTGCAAGTATGTTGATAAGTATTGTAATGACTAAAAATAATTTAGTAGGAAAAATAGGTTCGTAAGATAAATAAATGTCTTTGGTAACTAAAGTAGTCATTGATAAATTGAAGAGTAACGGTCACAGAATAATTTATCGTCTTTGCCTTATTTGCAGTTTTAGTCGAAATTTTAAGCATTGACTATTTATTGTGATAGTAAGTTTTGTCATAAAACTAAATACTACACATTGTTTCTTCTCTTCTGATAATAAATACTAAATCTAAAACAGTCCAAAATAGCGCTGCTTCGTTCAAAATTCACCTATCAAAACTTCTGTACTATCAAATTAGCCTGACATTATTTGTAGAAAAGGCGTGAAAACAGAGATTGTCTTCTCAGTCAAGCAAACTCGTACTTTGCGCTAACTCATCTTGGTAAAACTCAGTGTTTCTACTCCGTCCTCGTGGTGTTCACTTTTTAGTAATATATATAACCTTTAGTAATATATATAACAGTAATTACATGGTACGCTTTAGAAAAGTTCACTAGAAAATTTTTTGCTTTAAGTAACGTGCATTTTGTCTTCATCCATATTCTTTTTTATCCAATTTAATTATTTTTTATTATGATTTTAACAATAATAATAATAATAATAATACTAATGATTACTATTATTATGATTGTTTATTAATTTATGATTATTATTATTGTTATTTCAGTTCTATCATATCCTTTGTTAAGTTTCATTTTTTATTTGAGTATATCGTCTGGCATTACCTTTTCCTATTCAAAATGCAATTTTCAGAGCGATAGAACATTTGTTGAAGTGATAATGCCCAATATATATTTACGCTAATTTTTGAGCAGTTTTGTCGTTTGGCCAACGATATCTCATAATATTTTCAAGATTAAAGATAATAAAATTTTCCGTTTTTTATTAAAATTCAACTTTTTTCAGAATTCATTGACACCATTACATCTTGCTGCCAAAGAAGGTCACATTGAAATTGTTCGCTGTTTATGCTTGTTTGGTGCTAACGTGATTCGTAAGAACAAGGTCATACTTCTGGTATTTTTAGAAAAGTTGAATTCTGACATGAAAAAGTAATAGGCTTACTAAATTCTTATTCGAAATAATGATGTAATAAGTATTGATAATACTTCATATTTGTGCTGAACATTCTGTTGCATATTTCTTAAGTAAATAAAGCAAAAAATTCGAAACTTGCAGTAGTTTTTCCAATGCACTCTTCAAACAAGGTTTCAAAGGTAAATTAATTACCAGCACATTAGTTCATCTTTTCTCAGTTCATCAACCATTCTTCTTCTCTTTACCGAAAAGTATTTCGATAAAGTTTTTTGCTAAAAACTCAAAATCTGGTATCTTGAACCTTCTTATTTTGTTTTCTGTTAAATACATGTGTTCCTCAATTCAGATGAATAGTTTTGTTAAAGACTGAAATTTTTTGAAATTTGCAGTCACTAATACAATGACTGCTTAAAAATGTTTAAAGTATAAGTTTAAATTGCATTTGGAAAATTCTGCACGTATTTACAAATGTTTCGGATTAAGGTCACCAAGAGTAAAAGTTTATCTCCCGCTATTAAATTATACCCTTGGAAAAAGTTTATGTGAAGCGAGATTTCTTCATAATAAGCTTCAGAAAGCATCCGAAAAATAAAATGAAATTTCATTCTTTAAAATTAAAAGTTTGGTTTTTAGCAGTTTCTGTCTTTTCGCGCAGTTATTTTTTAAGCACTTTTATATTACACACTTTATTTTTTTCCTGCACATATTTTTGATAATAATATATTCTCCAGATTCTTTTCGTTTGATTTAAATCGCAAATGAAAATCAGTTTTATGAAAATTGGATTTTTTTTTCACTTTCCAAGTTTCAGGACGGATTAACTGCAGAAATTATAGCTTTAGCTCAAGAAAATACGCAAATTGGCACGCTTCTAGCAAAAATGAAATCGGTAATTCAGTACGCATTTGTTAATTCAAAATTTTGGTATTTTGATCGTTAATTAATGCGTTTGATAGAATATTTGAAATTGCTTTCAGGAGCAAACACGTGATGCCTACATGGAGCAGTTGTGTTCTTTGGAGATGCCATTACGTCGAATTAAATTGAAAGTATTTGGACATGCTGGTGTGGGCAAAACTCGGTTGATCTGTGCTTTGCAAAGTGGTAGTATGATTGGATCTATTATTGGTGCTGTTCAGAGACGATTTTCTGATAATCCATCCCCTTCTTCATCTACAACTACATCAAGTCCATCGCAAGGTTAATTATTTCATATACTAATATTTGACTTAAATAAATCATACCGGTTATTTAATCATTGGTTTATTATAATTCCTGTCATCACTTTTACTTTTTATGAGGTAAGTCAAAAATATTTCCAATAACATTTTGCTTACTTGGTACATGATTTTATTTTTCAATAAAAAATGAATTTGGTACACGTTTATGATTTACAGATGAAGGGATCAATTCACTGGATGATTCATTAGAATCGAATAATAATATGAAGGGTAGCAGAAAACGGTTAATACCACATGCACATTATACTCGTGGGATTGATGTGCAAAATGTAACTTTGCAAGGTGCGACTGAAATAGTTATATAATTTTTTTTCAAATTATTCAGTATTAAAGAATTTAAGGTGTTTTTTACTTATCTTCTTAGCATACATTTCTTACATATGAATATTGCAATTCAGATTTTTGATATAAAAAAATTTTATGAAGTGGAAATAATTTGAATTTTTTATGCTAGCAAAACTTGGAAATGCAATGATAAGATGAATCAATGATGATAAGATGAACTTTAAATGGAATTCTTAAGCATAAATTTCAGGTTGTGGTGAATTTTCCGTCTGGGAATTTGGCGGATATGAGCCATACCATATGGCATATGATCATTTTGTTGGCAATACCGATTGTGTTCACGTTATCGTATATCGATGCACTGATCCTACCGAAATACAATACAAACAAGTATTATACTGGATGAATTTTTTGAAAGGACGAGTTACTCCAAGTGAACCGATCGGACACTGTGGAATCGTTTCGCGAAGAAGCAAAGTAATTGTTTTCTACGATGAAAAAAATTTTGTCAAGAATAAATATTTCAATTTCCTAGATTACAACTCAAAATAAAAGAATTCATTTGAAATCATCTGAATTTCATCATCGAATACTCATATTTTCCAAGACATATTATTCCCAAGAAGGTTTCTGATTCATTAGTTAATAAATGAAAAGAATCTATCAGTCTCTTCCGAAAACTGAAAGTGAAAATGTAATTTTTTGGTATTTTATTATTATTATGAATATTATTAAAAGTTTACTGTATAGTGACTAATAATAATAATAATAATAATAATTAGTCACTATACAGTATACTTTTGTATGCAAATACAAAAAACTCTGGTATTTATTGGAAGAGTTCAATATGAAAGTATCAGTTTTTAATTTTCGCATGTTTGAAGGTTTGTTTAATTTATTAACTTATACAGGTAATTATTATTGGTAGTCACGCAACATCAGCACTTTTCCCTCAACGAAATAGCGATGGCGATTATATTTCCTCGGATAGTGATGCCATGCTAAAAACAGTTCGCTTACGTTTCGAGACTCACTTCGACATCCACGACCAGCTTATTCTATTGGACTCAACTCAGAATAATTGTCCTGGTATTATTGTTATTTCTATTTTATTCTATATTTCAGTAAGTCATTCGCTTATTATAGAACATCTTTCTTTTCTTGCTTATAAGTGTTTGCTAAATTACATTAAAGATCACAACTTTCAAGTAAACTTAAATGGCAGCGCAGATTTATACCTTCGATTCTCAAGTTACGACCAGAAATTCAGAATATGAAATTGATCACTTTCATGCGTTATTGTGTGAAATCATTGTTAATTTTGCTGCTTGCAGGAATGAAATCTCTAAAATCATATCTTTCGAAAGCACGCGAATCAGTTCTTTCGGTTAGTTCAGTTAATTCTTATTTTCATTTTATTTTCAAAAAATATACAAATATTTTTATTTAGTACCATTTTGAGCAATTTTTTTCATTTTCGGTATGTCACATAAAAGTAAAGATATGTTGTATTTCACTTTTTTTCATTATCTCAAAATATGTGCTTAATAAAAAAGAATGCAAGCAAATTACAAATTTTTGTTGGTAGTCACAGATTGCATCAAATTATATATTTCTGTTAGTGCCCAGAACCAAAAATTTTAAAGGAACTTCTTTCTGGAAAGTTCTCATGCTCATAAAAGTATTTGTAATTTTTTTATTTCTAGAGATTACAAAAGCCTTTAAGTTTGCTCGACACCACCGTACACTACATCGCGAGCTTGCGTAAGCAGCACGCAAGCTTTCCGGTAATAACATGGCCACATTTTACAGCATTAATAAGAAATGATGTTAATCCACTGGCTGGTGACAATCACTGCCGTCAGTTAATCCAGCAATTGCAGCTCATTGGCGAGGTTAATTGTAATTTAACTTTTAACTGTATCAAGTTCATGATTATTTCTAATAATATTTCTGCACTTGACAGTTAATAATCACAAAATCATCACATTAATGAACATTATTTGTTTGCTTTTTATGGCTAAAAAATTAAAGTTGAAAAGTGGTACTATTTGCCTACCTGTTATTAGTTTTTATGCAAAGTAAGAATATAAGGTAGTGTCTCTGTATTTCTTCATTTCATTTGATGACAATTTTTAAATGCTGACACGAGTTTAAGATGTTTGAAGCTAAGTGTGAAATTGAATTTGAAGCAGTTTAGGATGCTTAATTGTCTTCTTTAGTTTCAGATAAAAAATTAAACAGCCTGTTCGTAGATGTAATTAGTTTATTCCTTTTCTGTTTAAGGTTGTGTATCTTCGAGACGAAGTATCAGAGTTAGATTATGTAGTACTGTCGCCAGAATGGCTTGGTACTCATGTTTTGGGTAATCTTCTTTCTGCGGAATTTTTGTCTCGATGTCGTGTTAATGGTTGTTACTCCATCGATGATTTCGCACCTATTTATCCCGAAATTGCAGATTCAGCTGACTTACTAAGAATTTTAGATACTTTGCAGCTTTGTGCACCTACTGATACAAATGGCGAAGCAGAATTTGAATTTCCTGCATTCAATGTGCTAGATCCCCCCCAGTAAGTTAATTCACTTTTAATTGTTTCTGTCCAAAATATCTGTTAATTTTAAGTTAGAATTCAGTCTCATCTATAATGGCCATGATTTTGTGGTAATCCTTTTGGATAAAAAAAATGATTAAGTAAGATGTGATTCAACTTTCTGCACTTTAGTTATTTAAATTATTTTTTATTCCGAATTACAAATTTGACTCTACGCTTTGCACTCAATTGGTTGTTACATGAGTTTGTTTGTTCTTCAAAAATCACAAATTTGTGATATTTTAATAGAAGTTGAGTACATTTTAGAGACATTTGGCGTCGAGATCGGCCAACTTATGTTTACGGCGGCGTGAGGATCTTCCCAATGCGTGGTATGGAACGTTCACTTCAAAGTACTTTTTCACGAATACAAGTAGCATTACGTCGATCAATGCATGATTTTCAGGTCAATCTGTTCGTTTAATTTCTTATTTTTGATGGTTTTTGTGATTAAATTTTCAAAAAACACTAACTTTTATTTGCAGCCTATTGTTTTTCAAAGTTGCATTGTCTAATTAACAATTTTTCAAATATAGTTTCTATGCTGCGATGTTTGATGGGATGATTATTGAATCTAACGATGAATCGTCTCGTCATTTGAGATCTATATGAAACAAAAAAAAAATGGCAAATTTCGCTATTCATAAAAAATATTCTGAGAAATGTATGCAGGATCCAATGGATGCTGACTTGATGCAGTGGAATGGTTGCAGCAAGATGAGTTCGGGTCAAATGGAAGCTCTCATTCGTCTTCACGGGGATGCAGTCGAGATTCAAGTTCGAGGACCGTGTGAGATAGCTACCTCGTGCTTCTATTTTCTAGAAGATATCACAAATCTCGTAGAGCAAACAGCGCAGGAAGTTGCTCCCGGAATTTCTCTCGAGAGACACTTCCTTTCTCCAAAGCATTTGAGGGTGAATATTGCATGCATGTCGTAGTTAAAGAATTCATTTCGTTATTACTAATAGTCATTTTATTTACTAGTATTTATTCAGAGTGAATTGTGTAGATCAATGTGAATATATAAGTTTCTCGTACAATTTCAATTTTAAGGAACATGTATTGAATCCGGCCGTTTATGCTCCAGAAACGATCATGGCAATGCAACAAGCAGAATCTTTAACAATTCGTAATAATCAGGAAAGTGATGAATTATTCATGGATGTCGTGTGCTTCGGATCTCGTGATGTAGCTGCTGTACTTACTCTTGGTATTGATGTTGGTGTTGCACAACTTCAACTTGCATCACGTTGTGAATTAGCCGCTCTTCTGGATCCATCGGATGCTATGGGAAGAGATTGGTAAATCTGCATACTTACGATGTAACTGATAAATTTATTAATTAAGATCTAAAAATAAAAGATTTAGGTCTATTCTTGCGGTAAAGTTGAATCTTACCGATCAGTTGCCAGAAGTGGATTCTACTGGGCAAAGCCTTTCGAGAACTGATCAACTGTTAGCTGAATGGGCTTTACAATGTCCAGAAACAGCAACTGTTGGTAGATTGTGTACTGTTTTAGAAGAATTAGGCAGGCAAGATGCCCGAGATGCACTCTACAGGTTTGACGATAAGTTTATTATAAAATTTTCATACATACTTCAAGTATGTAAAATGTCCACTTTTATGAGCTATCTTTTTATGTAAATTAGATTGTATCATTTCATTAATTTTCAGGACTGTACCTTTGTACCTGTTTGCTCCTCTTGATGAGCAACCAACGTTACACTTAACCGAATGTGGTGATTCTGGCGTGGTCTCGTCAACTCAGTCAACTACTGGTCCACGTTCAGGCTCAACTCTCTCTCGATAATACTGCATGTGTAGTATGTTTGAATTGAAGTGAAAGAACGATATTGAAGTCTGAACTTGCATTAATTTAATTTCTATAAACCAAACCCTTATTTTTCCATTTCTTATCCAGTTTAATTCCAAATGACGATAGATTTTATACTGTATTTGTAATTAACTGTATACAAATAAGACATTTCTCTTGTTAGAAATCATTTCTCATGATAGCTGGTTTTGTTTCATCTTGTACTAATTTCTGTTGTACTTCGCGGTACAAATTATATTCATGATTTTTTTCCATCCACAAGTTTATTTGTTCATATGCGTTGTATTCTTTTTTTTTTGCCTAAACATCACTCTAGCGCTACTCATAGCTATCCTTGATATCTCAATCTTTGAATCTCTTTCAGCTTTGAATTACTGTGACATACTATATCACAGTATGCTGCAATATATCTTTACTATTTATAGTCAAGATAGTTGCTCTTTGAAATAACAGCCTGTCATGCTTGCTGTGATTCAAACTAGGTGATGCTGCTGGTATAAACTTCTCTTGCAACTTGTTTCTATGCGCTGATTGTAAAATTTTTACTTGTACAAGAGAAAAATTCAGTACAGATGTAGATGTTTTATCGTGGAGTCTATCGAATATTTATTTACTTTACTAGTGAATCCACCATCAGAATCCCTCCATTCTGCTATTTATAGTAACAAGGCAAAGAATAAAAAAGGTGTTTTCGAAATAATACGAATTTTTTAATGAAATGAATGCATGGTATATAAATCGTATGTCTATTCCTTGCTTCAGTTACATTTAATCACTGTGATATCTGTAATAACTTTTTGTTAGCAAAATATCTGTGAAGTTTATTGAAACGAGTTTGAAAAAATGTGTGATCCAACCTGCTATAATTTATTATATCATGTCAACTACAATTCATACCATTTCTAAACAGTTATGAATTTCATTTTCCTGATTAATTTTGATGTCGTTATAATCCATATATGACTTACACAATTTAGATGCTGAATTATTTTCTTTAGCAGTGAAAAGCATAATTTTATTACATCAATGATGTAATAACTCGATTATTCTTTTTGTTGCTCTTTTTTATTCTTTGAAATGAAAGCTGCAGATATTCCACGATATCCTAATCAGTGTAACTCATGTCTTTGATTCTGAAAATAATCTGGAATTCATGATTTTTTTACATTGTCATTGCTTCTACTCGTTTTTATTGCGGGTTTTCTTATACACATATTGTTTGTTTGCTTTGCATTCCTATTATTTCTATCATTTATCCGAAATGGAACAAACTTACTGATATGTTAATATTTTTCATTCTCTTTATTTTGCTTGGAAATGTTTTGCATTGTGCCAAAATTTTCATTTTTATTTGTACAGTTTTTTGCCTTTATGAAGTTTATAAAAAAAAGTTGGCGTACATACTTGGATATGAAACAGATATTCAGAAATTTATATACATATGCAATGGCATTACAAGAAAATGATAATGTGCTAAGGGTGTTTGATGCTAAGCATTAGTTCCGTCAATCCTAGTTGAGAGACAGTTATAAAAAAGTATACACAGATTGGAAAAATATCCAGTAACAATGATCAAATTATGGAGTATTTTGCTACTTAGATGACAAAGCATCCAAAATCAAAAATTTTATGAGTAAAATGACTGAACGCGCGGATATATTTCTCGATTTCAACTCTAGAAAACGATTTGAATATAAAGGTAAGAACATAAAAGTGTATGAAAGTAAAGAAACGATGACAACATCAATGAGCAGAAGTGACCAGTGTTCTTTCTATTTTTTTTCTTGATGTTGGCGCGTTGTTAGCTTCAAGAAGTAACGCCAACTGATAATATATATGAAGTGATACTGTAAGGATTGTTCTTAGCTTTCGTTCTTTTCACTGAAATGAATCATTAATGTGACCAGAATTTGAGTTTTATCATATTTAAGGATCATTTAACTTGATGGTATAAATTTAAATTATGAAAACTACAAGTCGTAGAGGTAAAATTTCTGAGAATTGCATTTTGGGTGTCAAAGGTTTGAGATTTAAAGGTGTATGCAAATAAGAAATTATTCAGTGTTTGAATAAAGATCCAAGACAAATAAATAGCATAGTTAATGAGTAACTATCTATCGTGTAATACCAATAAACTAACTCCTCATTAATATGACTCATATGGATATCGAATAAACGAGTGACAATATGACTTGTGACCAATTCACCAGAATTCTGAGCCACCAATCTCAGTACAAAAGTCGGATCACCAATAAAATGTGTCACGAACTGCATATAACGAAGTGACATTTCCTTTCGTGGCTGCTACAAATGTTTCTTTCGCGACTTCATTCGACTAATTTTATTCTACGTATTTTAATAAGGTGGAAAATAAGTTGTCATGATGAACTTTGATAACATTATCTCATGCTGTTTTAATACTTTTGTTATAGATGTGGTAATTGCTTTTACACAATGAATTCCAATTTACATTCGCAATCAAATTTTCCCAGAAAAAAAGTAAATGCTCACACTAACTCCAAGCGTGATAAGTCCAGTCATAAATTCGAAACTTGAAGCAGTTGAATTTAGCACATAGAACCAATAAAATGAATTTATTATGGTTAAAGTGCTTAATATCAGTAACCACCACCAAAGACCAATATAGATTTTCTCATTGAGCATATTGGCCATCAAAACACATTGAATAGTATGATGATGAATGTTACCCATTGCGCGAATCTAAAATATTCAGTGACTAAATACTGAACCGACGCTTCATAGTATCATGAACGGATTTTTTTAACTTCTGGAATGATTGACACTTTTTTCAGATATTTCTCAATTAACGAAATAATAGCTACATAAGATTCCTCTATTAGTACAAAACTGAAAGCATTAAAGAAAGTCTAAAACATTCACTTTAAAATCACACAAGGTCACTCGAGGGAAAACTCCTGTATGTTGCCAGGATCGTTCTTGTATCAGTGCTTTTGTTACATGGTAACCATTTCCACCCAAATACATTGATATTATAAAAAACTGAAGTTATTAGCATATCACAGAATTCCTGTTAACGACAAATGAAACTTCAACGAATTTTATCACGACATATCATATTGTCTACAACTTAACAGACCAATTTCTCCAATTTGTTCCATGCTAATTAGTAATTTTATTTACACTCTCATACAAATATCAGCTTTCTGTTTAGGATAAAATACATAAACTAATGCTTTATATTCTTCACTACATATCACAAAATTATAAAAGTTTATGATGTTCTTCATAATATATAAAGGATTAACTTAATATTTATTTAATTAGTAACCTGTCCAATTAATTCCCTTCAATTCTAGTAATACTTTTACCTGAATTATTGCATTTGCCGAGAACAATAATTTTGTAATGAGATAAATCGTACTTAAATAAGACTTTATAAAGAACCTGTAATTTTGCTTTTAATGTAATCAAATGGTCAATATTTTTTAATGTTATAACTTTATTTTACAAAGTTTTACGAAAACTGTAATAGAATAATTAATTTCTTATACTGAACAGTTTTTATAAGTAATGATCATCAGAAAGTTTTCAGATACTATCACACAATTGAGTGAATAATATCAGCAAAAAGGAAAGATCTTGTAAAAATACTCGACTGTTCAAGCCCCAAATCTCAAGAATATCAAAGGCTCATATTTGAAAGTACCTGACGACGGTAACGAATAAATTACTATTTTGCAATGTTCGACGCAAATAAGTGTTGGATTTGCTAGCACGATAAATGTGATTAGCAATTGTATCCAATATGTCTTGTGCTTCTTCACTATAAATATCCATCCCGCCTAAACTATTTGCCATTGAAATTACTGCACGCGTCTGCACATCTGTAATACAGAGATCTGATAATTTGATGCAAAATAATTGGGAGAAATTATGTAAACGAGCGTAGTCTCTGTTGCTTCACATAATTTCATTTCTAAATAATTCCAACTTTTTCATGAAATCAAACAAAATTCAAACTTGCTGTCCAATTAAGCATTCTCCAAAAGATGTGAGGAATTACGAATAGCATCGCTTGTAAAATAAGCGTAAATGGCACCCACTGAAAAGGCTTGATAGCTGTGCAAATAATGCTCATGCATAACCCAAAAAAAGCTTGGAAAACTACAACATGAATCAATTTAAAAAAATATGAGTTACTGGCATCAATTGCAAATATTTACATTCCTGAACAGATTAGAATGGATAGAAATAAATTTTCTATTTTTTTTTAATAGAAAATTTATTGTGACACAGTAAAAAAAGTGCTAATAGGATAAATGCCATTTAATAAATTAACTCTCTGAACTAAAAAAAATTAACTTGTAATATTATTAATTTGCATAGCACTTGACTAGAATATTAGCGATTTATTACACTAAATACTTTTGGTTTTACAGAATGAACCTGATAATAAGTAATTAGTTTTTCATTTCTATGTTTTTTGCTTTGTGGAATATTCTGCTCCATGGGAATATAATACGTATTCTCAACAAAACAATAACTCTCGGCATACTGTTCCCAAGATCTTTGAGAAGCTAGTTCAGCTGGTAGCCAGCACTCAATCGGATTTCCACCGTATTCCTATTAAATAACGATATATGTTGAAATGAAGTGCATTTAAGTTTACAAAAACATTAAAATGAAAAAAAATTACATTGAAAGTTAATGACGGCTTTATATGAAATTTTTTTCGCAACGAAAATTTGAGTTAACTCTGAATGATTTCCAAATTTTATTGAGTGGTAATGAAAAGAAAACAAATTTTTAACTAACAATCTGGTGGTGAAACTGAATTTATTTCATTTTATATTAACTTCTTTTTTGGAATTGTGTTGTGCAGTTTTGTGCAGTTTTACTTCATAGTTAATAATGAAAAAATAACGATATATGTTGAAATGAATTTAATTTATTCATGGTTTTGATAATAACTACGAAGAGTTCAAAGATACTTGAAACTGAACTAAAAATAGGTTTTATAGTCCACAGATTCTTGAGTAAAGGTATATTTTTTGAACAAAAAATAAAATAAGCATAAAAGCACGTGAGAAATGACAAAAAGCAGGAAAATGTTGAAGCTTTAAATTCATATTGATATCCTTCCCGTAGCGTTTATGGAAGTTCGTTCACTGATGCCAACCTCTATAAGAATTCCTTCATGTCGCCTTTCATAGTGGATATCCGACCGAAAAAACGTTATATCACGACTATGCTAGAAGACCCAAGGTTTCTAGATGGTCCGCCGTCTTCACACGTTCCCCACAATGTTGGCACATATCTTTCTCACTTTCAAACACATTTCTATTTTGGAGATAACAGTACCGTGTCTCTGCGGGGTAATGTTTCCATATCGTAGCTATATTGATGAATCAACTATGGACAATGTTTTATTCGTCCGCATTTTGTATAGCTTTGCATGGTGGATTTCCTTTTCATTTCGCTAAACAAGAGCGCCTTCTGAACTGCTAATACGTTTTGGACTGTAGGATTTTCTGTGAGGTTGTACCTAGTCTTAAGATAACTGCTAAGTACGTAATGCGAGCCTTTTGCTGCTTCAAAATCGCTGCTCTCCTTGCAGATGTGGGCGCAGAATCATTATTTTCTTCAACTACATAATGTCAAAGAGGATTGTTTTTAGTTTTCGTTCGATTCATTAATGTCATCAAAACTTGAGTTTTATCATATTTAAAGATCATTTAACTTGATGATATAAATACATCATGAAAACTACAGGTCGTAGATCTAAAAATCATTATCAAGAACATTGTGTAGTCCGAGAAGCATAAGCTCACTCCTCTGCTCAACATTATGAAGTCCACATCCTAGCTCGCCCTTTGCAAGTACAGTCTCTCTAAAACATACAGGTTGATTATGAATTCCGTAGTTATTGAACAACTGTCTGAATTAATTTCTCTAGCCTTGAAGTCTTGTGGTTCCAGTTTGAGTACCCCAATATGATAGTTTATTAAACTTATGGCAAGCTCATTTAATGCCTTGATAAAGTTCTTTCTGTGTCGTGCAGTTTTGGTTAGTAACTCAATTCTCGGCAAAATCTCTGCTCGCACTTTATGCAGTTTTGCATCATTTTAAGGTGTCTATACTCTTGAATTCCTTCGTTTTATCAGCGCATACCTCGGTATTGGTGGCTCACTTTGCGAAAGTAACCTCTAATTCCACACTTCAAAGAACCTCTGAACTTCGTCGGCTATTGCTTTCATGATATCCTCGTCGGACAGCAAGGAGCTAGAGATCATTCGCAAACAACAAATGATTCTTTAGTGCATTCCTTGATCAGTTGGAACCGCCACTTTTATCTTATATTGTACCTTATATTGAGCTGAACGGGTCCATACACAATAGCAGTGAAGAAAAATTATCACCTTGGAGAATTCTTCGTTGTATTTTCTTTTTCATTGCTTTTCAGTGTAAGAGATCATCTGGATGTGATGCTTTTCAGAACCCACTGATCCACGATGGCATGTTAAGCCTTTCAATGCACATAATCAGTTATTCGTGACTAACTGAATCAAACGGTTTTTAACGTCATACTACGTGGTATGTAACTGATTTCCATTTTCTTTGCATATCGCCAGGTTCAAGAGTGCCTGCTCTCTCGCACTTTGAACCTTTTCAATAGTTCCTAATTGGTTGTCTGTAAATAGTTTTCAGGTGGCAATATCTAATTGCATGACACGTACCACACATTGCGTTGTCAACTTGTAAAATTTCGACATGCAAGTTATTGGCCTCAACTCTCTCATGCTGTCAGCATACATGGGCCTCATGACAGTCACGCTTAAGAGCAAGTATGAGATTCATACTCCTCATACAAATCTTGGCTTCCCTCAGATTTTTACCTTCAAGTGTTTTACCGGCCAATGCTTGCCTTCCATCTCGATGCTTTCTTCTTCCGCTGTATCATATCTTCATAGCATCGTTGTGCCACCTGGAGCTGCCTTACAAGAGAAGTAGGTGTCGATATATTAACATGCTTCGCTGTCTACTGAAAACGGATGGTGCGTGCATGGACGATTTGCAATGGTAGTGATCGCAGAATTCGCTTGCTTCTTCAATTCTTAGAGAATAAACGCACACGCGAACTTTTTGCAATACAAGGAACAACACAAAAGCCATACGCCCTCTCAGCATCCTCCCGAAACGGTGAAGAACCGCCTTCCAAGAAGCGATAAGAAGTAATGGACCATAACGATAATGCTCATGAAACCCCTTGTTGCAGTACTTCTGAAGGAACGAGGACGAAACAAAGGAAGAAGGAAAAAAAATGATAAGCATAGGATGAGTAGAGAGAAAAAAAAGACTGTTGCAAAAAGAGTTTAAAGCCAAAAAGAATAAATGAATGCAGTGTTATCTCACAGCACGGATATCAGAAGTCTGAGAAAAAAATGGAGGATGAAAGGAGGAAAATAAGACAAATTAAAAATGAAAATAATCACAAAGAGCTGTTCACATGTAAAATTCAATTATATTTTACAAATTAAATAAACCTTGGCGATAATGGTAAATGCAGCGGCTAACAACATCAACGTGGTAACATGGTAATTTAAGCGGTCAGTAGAATCTTCTTCATATCTTGGCTTAGCTAATGATTCGATCACTTTTGATAGTTGATCCATCGTAGCAGCATGAATTTTTTGAGACTACTGCATATGAGAAGTGATGAAAGAGTAAACCTTCAAATTCAGTTATTCAGTAGCTATGATTATTCAGCAATCATTAATTCATCAAGTTTGATTAATTAGCAGAAAGTGAACAATGCTGATAATTTTTGTAGAGGAAATCATATGAATCACTGAAGCTGCATTTTTATGCCTGCATGGTTTGCGAGAAATGATCTGAGTAGTTCGGTCTTATATATGAATAATTAATCTTATCGGATTTAAAACTTGACTCCCATTACAGTTAATGTAAATTATATAAAAGAGTTATAAAAATGCACAAAATTCACAATTTGAAAAGCAGAAGTTAAGAATTCACTGCAAGTAAAGAGTAGTAAAGGAAGCAAGGAATGAAAAGTGAACGAAATGATGAGCTGAGAGCAGCACTTACCGTAATACTTTTACTGTAATAATGTGAACTGATCGGTGCAAGATAACATAACAAGAATGTTTCTTCTCCGAGATGAGAACAAACAGCATGAGACCAATATCGGAACTTCCCACAAGCTTTTACTGCAATGAATATAATTATTTCCTCATCATCGCTCAACACCAAGAACTCTGACTACAATATACCTAATCAATCTTCAAAATCACTATATTACATTCCGAATAATTGTACCCTTCTACCTCTGTATTCCCCTGCAATGTCTAATACAAGCATTAAACAAACGTGCTAATTTGTTAAAGATACCAGAATACTACACCAGTGACTTGAATCCATCTAACCCAATAGGAACATATCCCTTTCCTACCATCACACTAAACCACACACCTTTATCCACCCATACAGATAGCTGCCATCTTAACATACAAAAAGCTCTCCGTAACACTAACTTTTTACTCAAATTACATCTCGACAATTGCCAAATGTACTCACCTCGTTGAAGCACCATAACAATGTTTCTATAGAACTCTTTATTAGCTACAATACGATAGTGAGAGCAATAAAAATATCACTTTCATGAAACACACTAATCATATTTCAAATAGCGAGAACATATAATGAGAACCTAAATGTCAACGGCATAAAAATTTGTACTTAACCAACGTGAATCCCAGCATCAGTAAAATTCCCCTCCATTTTGTATAAGCTACTTCATACAAATACCACTGATGACAAATCAAATCATGCTGGAGAAACACACTGGTATAGAGACTAAATTCATATCATTCTCCTTACAATTTTTCGAATTATAAAAAATAAGATGAAAAGAAATAAAGAAAATGACCAAAAAATGCGTTTTTCAGAAAAATTTCGCAATTAAATGACGCACATAACACACATTATGCAAATTTACAAATTTTTAACGAGAAAGGCGAAACTTCATGAAAACCAAAAGGCAAAAGAGGGCGAATGTATTACGAGTTTAAGCACTCAACAAGTTTGCTCTCAATGTGACAACATACAGTTTTGCAGAAGTAAACACGCACTTACACAACAGCCTTGCCCAGTGGCATCTAGTTTTAAAAATATATTAAAAATTTAATAATGAGCGATAAATGCAACTTAAAAAAAACTTTTTCTCAAATATTGAGAAACTGTATTGTGATGAAACCGGAAACAAAAGGGGAACAAATGTAAGTTTCAACAGGAAAAATGAAAGAACGGTCCATCACTCCGTTCACGGAATCTATGGTATATTTATTGACCGGAATAGCTGGCACTGTTACGGTAGCTGTTACGATGGTTGTAATTATTGTAGAAGTTGCCGTAACCACCGCGAGATTGGCCATTGTAGTTATAGCCTATATAAAGAGACCAATACAAAATGAAAAGTAGAAATAACAACTGGCAGATCTGCCTGATTTTTGGGATACAGCTTCTTCATAAACTTTGTTGTTTTCTTTTTGACAAACTTAAGTACTTAAATTAACGTGTTGATTTCAGTGTGACAATATATAGTTTAAAACTGCAGCTATGTTTCTGTTTTTATAAAAACACATTAGTGACAATCAGGAACTGATAAGCTCTGCAAGTGGAATATTTCTGAAAATAAAAGTAATGCTCCACATGTATTTGAAGAATAGAACAAGACAAAACACCAAAAAATATAAAGATAAATATACCTGAATTGTAACGATAGTTGCTATTCATGGGTCCACCACGACCACCACCACGGCCACTCACAAATCCTCGTGGTCGACGATAAGCCAAAGAACGAACAGCAGAATGTCCGAATGTTTCCTGATTAGTTTCACGCTCTTTTTTCCAGTCAGTACGTGGCTTTCTGCAAGTGCAATTTTTCATATCGACTTCAAAAATTTAAACCCATCAGAATTCAATTAGTAAAGGAGAGAGAGGAGAAAAATTTACCCTGCTTGTTTCTCGAGTGCTTCACATGAAATTCGATCAAAAAATGATGAACTTTTATCATAGTAACGTTTTTCTGATTCTTCCCTCACAGTATCAGCCACTTCATCTTCAACAACATCTGAACAATTATCAGATCCCGGTGTCGCTTTTTTATTTCCATCTGAATATTCTGTAATGAGTCCAAAACTAAAAGCCTAAATTTTTCTAGCTCTCCCCTCAAGCAAAGATAACAGGTTCGAGTTCTTACTGGGTCAGCTTTTCAAAATTGTAAAATATTGTCCAACCATAACATTGAAAATTTAATGATTAATTACTAACTTTAGTCGATATACATTTCAAAAAAGCCGTAATCATGGCAAAAACTGTACCACATAATCTGTTATCTCAACAATAACAAATGTGAATTAAGACACATAATAACAAACACAAATTTATTATACAGTATCGGACCTTCAACTTTCATTTTGCTAATGTGGTTGAGAGTTTCTTGAAACTGCTCGTTCGCTTTTTCGAAATCATAATCACTGTCGAATTTCAGTTTTTCCTTTGTTTGTAACTTACCACTCACACCTCCACGAGTGCCACCACCACGCTGATAATTAGCGCTATTGCCACGACCAAAAAATCCTCCACGATTTTCACGATAATTGCTTTGCTGTCCCCCCCGACCATAGTTTCCTGGATAGCTACCAACACTTGGGAAATTTTGCTGCCCTAAATAAAATAAGCATTCATAACAGAAGATTTAGATTGATAAACTGATGTGAAATATTATTAACAAATACATGGTAGCTAATATGCTGATCTAATAATCATTCATAATATTGATATCATCATATTCCATTATCTTCATACTTTAAATAAAGTTACTGCATTTTCCTATGATTCAGGCTTTGTGCGCATGTTAAATGAAAAACAATGATCTCTAAACATGGGATTTGTAGAGTCAAATAGAAGCAAGCAGATGATAAAATTTTTTCAAACCAAGAGACATTTTGAATCATTTGAGAAGTTTGAAAAAAAGTAGGTCGGAAAATTTCTAGAATGCAGGAAGTCTACTCTAATATTCAGTTTTGCACAAGCAAAGCCTAAACCATGCGCAAACTAACGTCCAGTATTAGGTGTTCCTTGATGCTGTAACTGTTGCTGAAAACCACCACGGTTTTTAATACCTGTCGCAGGAAGCATCTGATTTGCTAGCGAAAGAGTATGTTGATTTCGCCCTGAACCAGGAGCACGAGAATGTGTATTATCTTCTGCTGGAGAAATACGATTTGGCGTATCAGAACGCGAAGCTTGAAAAATACTTAATATAAAAAAAAGCATGTTGAAAGATAAAAAATGATGAATTCCTTACTTTTTATCACACAAGTCAGAAACATAACTAGTAGTATTTCGTTCTTTTCAGAAATAACCTACATCCGGCGCTTATAACGCTGTTAACAACAGCAGGTACATTTTGAACAGAAGTTTGTACTGGAATGGAACGTCCAGAAGATATGGAAAGTATTGCCGGATCATAAGCTAAACCACCAGCTAGTTGAGGCAGCGGTTTCGGAGTTTCGCATACTATCAGATCTTTGATATCTGTTGCTTTGAATATAATATATTCATATATATCATCTCGAGCGGCAACTGGATTTGTTGTCGGTCTGTCTTCTGTACCAAATGATCGTACTAAAACATAATAAAATATTTGTGCAGACTATCTACAATAAGAAGTTATGATCTTTGGAAAAAATAATTTTCAAAGTTGATGCTCATGAAGGGTGACAAGTAAAACCATAAGGAATAAAATAAAACCTTTAGCAAGTGCAATTGTTGATTCGTTGGTGTCTACAGTGTATAAAATACCCTCGTAACGTATATCTAATTTCGAAATCAAACTTATTCTACTTCCAATATATGGAGTCTGCTGGGACATACTCCCCGTTTTGCAGCCAGTAGGAGTGCTTGACTACTGGCGCTAACGGATGCTAAAAATACTTGCAGTTGCCACATGCTTACAAATTTAAAAAATAGAACTACGAACGTTTGCATAGATTACTAAAACCTACTCACACATTATTCAGACATAATATATATGCATCGCAAACTGATAATTCTGAGACATCACCGCATTTTACATCCATAATATAGTACAAAATCCGAATTTTAAACACAAATTTTACGTTACCAATTCCACTATGGAAAAAAAGCAAAGTATTGCATTAGCTTGTAATTAAACTTGTCATACAAAAGTACCCATTTAGTAAAGTGAGCAACACCATTCATGAATTAAAATCAAATTTATTCCTTTGCTAGAAA